GTAGTCATAGATGAGCATATTATACCTGTATTGGGACTTACATTGTTGATGCACTCCAACACATTGTATTTACTGCTTTTTAGCTGATCCTTTAGGTATGTAAGTATTGCAAAGGAATCTAATGTTCCAATACTTGCTTTTTTCGCCTCCAGATTGCATTTTGTAAGTCAATTGGGCTTGTTTAAATTGGATAAAAGTTTTTGCTGCATTACACACGTGAAAACACAAGTGTTGGGTGTCGTATTTTGCACATGAAATTTTCATTACGTGACTACCCACTAGACCATCCACCCCAATGACTAGTAGGCTGGAGATTGGTCTGGCTAGCGAGACAGTCGAGACTACCTTGGGACAAGGCTCCAAGGTTGTTCCTAAGATTGAATTCATCCCCTGTGCCATTTATTTGTACTGTATGTCTATACACTTTGACATTGTATTGGTAACACTCCACTCAGCCCCCAACCCTGGCCTCTCACTTAAAGTGGATGTGGTCACAGCAAACAAAATGATGGCTTGGAAACAGGACAAAGTTTTAAATTTCTTTAAAATGTCAAAGCAAAGATGATGTCTAAATACTGCACTAGAAAGTAGAGAGAACCTTTATAAATCTTAGTAGAAGAAATAAACTCAAACTATGTGAGCAATTAGTTGATGAAATCTATCTTAGGATAATTTTTTTAGACTAATACTTCTTGTTTTGATTTAAAAGTTCATTGAATGATCAAAGTTATAATTAATTGTTGACCTAACCCCGTTATGCATGTACATGTGCATGCATGTGTAATTTTGATTTTTGTTTGTATTTTTACAAAGCATGAAGTTAAATGTTAATGAACATTTTTACCTGCATGTACAAAGTTTTTAGCAATGTTATTAATTTTTATAATTTTCCTAGAACCAGAGAAAATGAAGAATTATAGACAGGAGCAGGTGTATGTTATAAGATGGCGTCCATCACAATGTTTAGTTGATCCAATAGAAGAAATTATACTGGATTTAATGGATTATGATAATTTTGTTGCTAGGCAGCCAGCACTAATTGAAAAAATTGGGGTTATTGATCAGGTTAGTTAATTGCTGCATAGGTGTACTGAAGTCTATTTGTATCTACCTGGGCCCTGCTATAACTTTTTCTTATTTGTTCAGTAGTTCTATTGTAATGAAAGACAGACAGTCAACAGTAGTACCTAGTCTTTGCCTACGCAAAGTTGAGCGAGGCCAAAAATATGTATATCAATCCATTCCTCTCCTTTTGCTACATCTATTGTGGTACTTAAGTAGTGGCTGTAACTTTTTAGCTTCACGTGCATACATGTAGTTATCACTATACTTTTGCAATGTTGGGTGGGGTCTGTAATCACATCCTGCATGGGCTTGGGTGAATGCAAGTGGACTTCATGAATGCATATTAAGAAAATGAGACAGTGGGGGTACATATGTATGTAATACATTTTTCTTATTTTTTATAGCTATCAAAGTTAAGTGGAATTCCTGTCCAGCATATCTCTCGTACAGAGGTTAATCATTGATATTAAAACATTATTAGTAACGCGGTAGCGTTACTAAGTAGGATTCACCCCAAAACAAT